GTGATGCGGGAGGGGCAGGTAGGCATAGCTCCAGCCACAAATGAAGTTGACTGCCGCCGACCACGCCGCTGTCAATGTCAAGCTCCATCTCACTTCCCCCACAGACATCACCAACAAGACGCGGACTCAGCATGCAAGTGATTCAACCTGCATCAACATCCCCGCCGCTCGCCGTTCGCATTCGGTGATGGTCTACGGAGTCCCTCACCTCTGTTTCTCAAGGTGAGGTCACCGCCTTTGCTCTTGGCGGGACTGAACCAGAACATTATAGCATGAGAACGTTGACGCCCAAGCCTGAGCTCGGCGCACGCTGTTTCACGGATCGAGCAGTCAAGACCGATATTTCACCAAATTCTTGCATGAAGAGGCCGTATGAGCTCCATGCGACAATCAATAGTTTGTTCTCCGCAAGGCCAGCTCAGAGACCTTTCAACTACAAGATGTAACTTTGTCAAGTGACCAGCCATCCAATCGAGGTCGCTTCTAAGCGCCCGCCGAGCGCCTGTCATTATCATTGGTCGGTGGCACGATAGTTCTGCATCCCCAATCAGGCTCACTCCCACCTTCCCGCCTCCCGTCTTCGCGCGCGCCAGCCAGTCGACGCCGTGGACGCTCACAAAGGCCATGTTCTTCTTCCATGTGCTTAAATTAGATTCTCTTCCTTGTGTGCCCATTGGCCAGAAGACTGATTCGTCGCTCGATGGGTTAACCTTTTGGGACGGGGATGTGTACATCGTCTCCTCATCACTGCCTCCCATGCGCCGGTAGCACATCCCCATTCGGGCCAATGCAGTGTGTGCAGCAGGCGCGCTGCATTGAAAGTGCTACCGACTGACTGCAATGCATCAGTCCAAAGATGCTGTGCTGTCCGTCTTGGGTGCGCATCTCACCGTTCCGTCGTGCGTTTATGTGTGCGCATAACGTGTTCGTACTTCGCAACCCACTCGCGCGGCCTACTAGTTAGCCGCCTCCCGCCCACGCTACTGATGATGAACAAGGCCTCATCAGAGTATATCACTTGGCCCTGGCCAACCGCCGAGCCTCCTCTATTCCTCCTTTTTCCTTTTCTCATCTCTTTCTCCGCGTCATTGCTGTTTGCAAACTAACCTTTAAGGCTTCGTTGATCGAGGCAGCCTGTCGTTTACACGATTTTCCTATTCCCATTCGAATAATAACATTCACCAAGCAACGACGCCGGCCGTCTTACGACCAACGCTGTTTTTACACCCAACGTCGCATTTTGCCTATATTTATACCGTTACAGCACATAGGAACCGCAAGTCTATATCAGGATATCTGACTGCATAGGGGAAAATGGCTGAGATTACTCACTTACCCTCATCAACATACAGACCTCCCTCCCCTTCGCAGGCTCGGAGGCAGGGGAGGTCACTTAATACTATAATGGAGGAGGAGAGCGAGGATGTACAGTATGCCACCGACAAAAGGCAGCTTAGGAGTCAAACCTCAAACCTCAACATTGAGGCCTGGCTATCGCCCCTAAGCGACCACTTCCCGACACCAAGAGGCTTCCACTTCCTCTCCGCTCCCATCTTGCCGTCATCGCCATCAACTGTGTCGGCCGACGAGAGTAGCTCTCCCTCGACATCGTCAAACCCGTGGAACAACAACCGATCAAGCGTCATGACCGATGTCACCGAGTTCGATGACCTATACGATGTCACCGATGAGGATGAGCCAACCTCGCTGCGCCGAGTACCATCCCGCAAGGCCTCCGTGAGGCGGCGCAACTCTGGTCGCAATGAGATGATCAAGCAGAACGCGACTGGTGCTCGCAGAGCTTTGCCTCCCCTCGTCATTCCCGGCGCTCGGAACACTTCCACGGATGATTGGTCTGCTGCTAGTCTCAAAAAGACCCTCGCATCACCAGTGCCACCAACACCGCCAACACGCGTCGAGATGTCTCCTCAGGTCTTCTCATTCATGCAGGCGAAGCAGGCTCAAGAGATCCCTACAATTTCGGCACCACCATCACTCGATGGCAGCCTGAGCTCAGAGCAGTTGGCACACATGTCAGCGCCACCAACCCCCATCATCGGTAGCGACAACGGCAAGGACGAAGACTGGTCAGGCGTGCGACTGCAACCCGGCGCATTGGCAACTCTGCACGCCCTCTCTGGTGATAACGATAGCCTGCACGATCACGACCATGACCACTCGGACCAGGTCCTCGAGATTCCTCAAGAGCCCATCCCCGAGATGCGTCAACAGCCTCTGCGCCTGTTCACCAATATCCGTCCTGAAGCACCGCACGCGGCCGTCCTCACCCCCAATTCCCGCCGTCAGTCTCTGGCCGACCTCACCAAACTGGACATCCCTTCCCCTGGCGGCTTCTTCTCTGGACTTTCTCCTAGGACAAGGACAACATGGCACATGCCCGCGGCAACCATCGAGGATGTGGTGCCGCCAACATCAACCACTGCCGAGCAATTCTACCGCTGCCCCTGGAACATGGACGCTTCCGTGCCTCCAGTGCCTTCAGCACCCGCCAAGCTTATCATCAACGATGCTGCCGAGGACTTCTATCGCAGCTCTGTCCCTTCATCCTCCGCGATTGTAGAGCAAATTATTGAGGTGGACGATGAGGAGATGGATGAAGATGACATGCCAACTGCCAGGCCCATCGTCCCCGTCAACGCTTCGAGCTCATCGGTAACGCTTGCTGAGCCAACCTCCCCCGACGCCGAGGACGTACCAACAGAGATCGTGACGGTCTATGACCCCGAGTACGCTCGCAAGCAACAGGAGGTTACCCTCTCAAACCTGGATCGCACCGAGCTCTGGCTCAGGGCCCAGCGCGCATACCTGAAGCCTGTCGAGGCTGCAGAGGAGACTGAGGAAGACAACAGCCTCGACACCATTCCCGAGGCCGCCGACGAGGAAGTCGAGCACTTCCCCGAGCAGGAGATTCCTGCTTCTTTGCCCAGGAAGAAGATGGTCCGATTCTCCGAAGTCGTCTCCAAGACCGATATTCCCCGCCGTCTGCCCTCCAAGCTCTCCAGACAGGAATCGGCCTACTACCGAGCCTTCCAGGACTACGTTGTCCGTTCCAGCAAGCAGGACGTCATCGTCCACCAGCTCCCCCGCTTCGAGGCTCTCCAGGCTCAGCGCGTATGCCTCCGTGAGTTCCACCGTAACCAGCTGCTCGGCAAATACCAGCTCAGCGTCGTGCCCCAGTCCGCCAAGAAGCGCCTCAGCGCAAATGTTGCCCGCGGCGACGACATCCTCCACGACGACCCCGAGAAGCTGCGCCGCGAAAAGGAACACGAGGCTATGTCCCAGATGGCCATGCCCACCTGGCACGTCGCCGCCATGAAGATGCTCAACGGCGGCAAGCTCATCTCCGCCCCCGTCGCCAAGCGTCTCGGGCGTCTTTCCCGCATGGCCCCCGGCCGCGACGGCGTCGCCCGCGATAGGGCTCGCATTCTCGACCTCGGAGGTCAGTCCGCCTGTGACTGGGCCTGGCACTGCGCCCTCCAGTACCCCAATACCAAGATCTACACCGTCACCACAAAGACAATCCGCCAGATGTCCAACTCTAACGTCCGCGGCCCGCCCAACCACCGCCAGGTAGCCGTCGAGCGCCTGACCCGCCTGCCCTTCAAGGACGACCAGTTCGACCTCATCTCGGCGCGCGAGCTGCACAGCATCCTCAAGTTCGTGGGCGAGAACGGCGAAGACGAGTGGGAGACGTGTCTCAAGGAGTGCATGCGCGTGCTCAAGCCCGGCGGCTACCTCGAGTTCTCGGTCCTCGACTCGGACATCATGAACGCCGGGCCCATGGGCCTCGCAAAGAGCGTCGAGTTCGGCTTCGACCTCAAGACGCTGGGCTACGACCCCAGCCCGACAAAAATGTTCCTCGGCCGCCTCTCGCGCGCGGGCTTCGACGAGGTCCGCCGTGCGTGGATGTGCCTCCCCATGGGCGCCCGCCCCCAGTCCCAACAAACGCAGGCGCAGAAACCTCTACCCTCGCTGCCCCCGCTCGCCGTGCGGGAGAACCCCGACGGCGAGGAGGTCAGGACGGTGCAGATGGAGGCCATGGTCACCGGCAGCACGGACGGCGTCGCCAACATCACGGGCATCGTCGGCGGCTGGAGCTGGGAGCGCTGGCTGCTGCGGTGCGAGATGGAAAAGGTCAGCGGCGAGCTGCGGCTTGCGGACACGGTGACGGCCGGCGCGGCGATGAGGGAGGCCGGCAAGAGCGTCGAGGGCGTCGCTGCCATTGTCGAGGAGGGACGTGGATGCGGCGCCGGGTGGAGGATGCTGAACGGTTATGCGAGGAAGCCCAAGACCGGCACGGGACTCATTTCTGTCGGTTTCGAGGTTTGAGAAATGCTCGCACAGAGTCGAGCTGATGCTGATACATCTCCCCTCGCCTTATCTCCACATCTTACATATATATATACTACACCCCCAATTCCCTTTGTTTCCCCTTTCTTTTGTTCAGACGCAACGATAGCAGGAAGGGATACGAGTAAGGAAGCGACGGAAAAAATCAAGTATATGGTATGGAAACGTATGTGCATATGGGCTGTAATGAACTTTGCGGGCGCGCGTGGTTGCGGTCAACAGGCGCTGGAGGCTTGTGCATGGGAACGGGGATACCGGTGATTGACTAGATGTCGAGCACCTTGAATAGGCTTGTTCTGGTAGCTAAATGATACTTTGACCTTTCGGTCAGCAACCTTGTCTTTTGCCCTCGAACGCAATGTGCTCCATGAGATATTCGCTCAGCCCTCTTTCCATGATAGACAAGTACGTCCATAGCTAGGACGATAATTATCACCGGGGATATGCTTCTGGCAGAATGTTTGTCGTCAAATAATCAGGCCACAAGGGACCCTTGGTATCGTTTCATTAATAAGTTAAGCTGAATCGAAAAGTATTACAAACCTGGGGGTATTTGGGAAATATGATTCCAGCCTATACATGACACATGAACAAAAGCAATGTCCCATCTACCCAACTCCGAATCGTCCTTATGGGTTGGTATCCATCTTCTCGCCTATGGGTGACCCGGTCTGTACGTTGATGGTATCATTGTCGCCTAATCGCTCCCTTTCTTCCACACCTGATACTGAGGGCAACACCGACGAGTCCCTAGGCGTCTTGGCCGATGTCGGGACGATAACGTTAAGAACACAATCGTCAAGATGTTCGTAAAACTCTTGAGCTGTTCCGAAATAACTCTGACAGATTGAGCACTTGGCACCGTCTCCTCGGACATTGCCGGATCCGCTGATGATGAGCTTCCGACTGTTGGGAGGCGTCTGTTCAACGTTGTGTACCGAAGTGAGATGTCGCTTGAACACGTCCGCACGATTGAACGCCTTCTCGTACGCAGTGCCCACCCCTGGGCAGAACGGACAAACCATCGTCCCTTTGTAGTGCGTCAGCGCATGTCGATTCTTGTCATACTTGCGCGCGAATCCTTTCGTATGATACTCGCAAGTCTCTATCGGGCACTTTTCTGGACGTTCTTCTTGATGCGTAAGCATGTGTGCTGCGAGATCCTTAAAGACGCGGCCGCAATCTGGGTGAGGGCACCGAGTCCGATTATCAAGAGTCTTGCTTGAAGGGCTGCTCATCTGAGAAGACACCATTGATTCAGCGGGAGCTATCATCAAGGGGACGGCCGACGGTGCTGCCGCTAGCATCGTTGGGCCGAACGTAGGAGATCGAGCAGGCGGCGGTGGAGGTGGCGCTTGAGTGAAGTACTCAAGCGGCTGTTTGTAATCGGCCTCTTCCCCTCCACTAGAGTCGTCCTGGTCTTGAATATCAACAGACTGCCGCACCTCTCTCATCCAGTCCTTGAGAATAGTCATGGGCGGCCAGTCTCCACTGGCCTTCCCACCTCTGTGCGGGTTGAAGTGTGCTCTCCGGAGATGTGCCGCCGCATTGTAGTAGGCCCCGTATCGTTTCTGCGTCACACACGCTTTGCATTTTGCAAGTGGTATGACAGGCTGCGGCAACGTTGGGCTGTAAGTGTCTGGCTCAGTGCATACCCAGCGCCTCACCAGTGAAGCGTGTTTAGCATCGGTATGCCTACGGAGTTCGTGTTCGCCCCTGAACCCTTCAGGGTACTCGTTGCACTTTATGCAGTAGACTCGACGCAACGGAGGCCGCTGATAGGTAGGCCGCCCTCTACCGCCCGACAGCGGCGATTCCAAGGGCCTCAAGGGGCCTCGGGGAAACGTTGGACTCTCTCCAACTGTATGCCTGCGACCTAAGGGATCTATACCTTGGGGCGAAGTGAGGTAATCCGGACCGATCGTAGCGGCAAAAGGGTCTCGATCTGATAGCGGGGCAGGGTTCGGGATCCACGGATCGCCCAGAGCTCGGGGGTCGTGCATAGGACGTCTGGGTTCTTCGCCAGGTTTGGCGATGGGCGGGAGAACGAACGTACTGGTACGTGCTGGAACTCTTTGCCTGAGGAACCCGTTGAACGTGGCAGCGCCTTCCATGTTGCCATCTCCAAGATGTATCAAGAAATCCTTGGAAGAAACATAACCTTGCTGAGCCCAGATGTCCTTTCGCATAACCATGTACAGGGAGTCCATGATTGCCCTGTCTCGTTCATCAAGATCCACGGTCTGTTCATCAAGTAACATGGGCCCGGAATTTGCAAAGAGCGTGACAAGAAGCTTGTAGACGCTGTTCATGGCGTGCACACCGCCTGTACCCCTCCAGGTTGGAGGAGTGTGCGATGATAGGCGTCTCGGCAGATAAGAAGCAATGTCCACCAAGATTGTTCGCACAACACTGAAGATGCAAAGTGCAATAAACACCGCGGACCAGCTCTTCGGATCCTGTGGGCCCTTCTTGACCGTGGCACTCTCAAACGCCTGTAGGAACTGTGCCAAGCAATTATAGAGTAAACGACAGTGAGCATCTTGGTCGATCTCATCAGTGAATAGGGGTCGGTGGGGCGGGCCTCCGTCAAGGCGAATCGAAGGTTCCGGTTGTTGAAGGTCCCAGAATATGACCTCTCGCAGCAAGAGCTTAGCCCGATACAGCACTGGGAATACTGCTTCCTCCATCTCTCTCGTGGCCGCAACTAGGCCGCTCGTTTTTAGAAGGTGGAGAAAGTTGTATGCAGTTCCCCCGCCATTCCAGCTTGCTGTGAGGATATTCAAGATTGGTGGTGGCCGATCGATCGTTTCTCTAGGGTAGTTTGGAAGCGTAGAGTTAGCTAAAGGAAGACTTGCTTCCGTCCACCAGAACCCGTCATCAAAATCAAGATTTGCTTTGACTGCGTGCAATATGTCCGGTGATATGCGATAGCTGTTTTCTAGATGCTCGTTCATGCTTCTCCGCTGGGCTAGCGGAGATGTGATTGGAGTCTGTGATTGTCTTGGAGATACTGGAGCTTGTTTGTTAGACTGGGTCTGTTTCCTCTCGAACTCGAGTACTGACTTGGGAGCATGATGTCCGAAAAGGCATTAAGGGGCCCACGATGGCAGCCGATGGCCTTCCAAAAGTCGCTGCTTGGACTAAGTGGCTGGTCCGCGCAATAATAACAGGGCTCGTTCGAGTCGCACTACCGTCATGTGTCAATGAACCTACACCAGAAAGCTGTCGTGGACTATGATTCTTACCGGTTGCCTGGTAGCCATACAACGCAAACATGGTCCAGAGTCTTGAAGCAACCTGAGCTCGCCAATCGACTGGAGGCGAGACTGGCCAACCCTGCTACGCTTCAGAGGGGGCAGCAACGGGTCGACTTCGGAATCAACAGAGCCGCGTCCTGGAGCGGAATACTCGCTGATTAGCGAGTAGGATTGAAGAGTATCGCGGCGTTCTTTCGGCTGGCTTGTTGTCAAAGGGGCTAGCTGGGTGCCGGGCGATGGCTTTGGGAGTTGAAGGGCCAGCGGCTGCTTTCCTGTATCGGGACCCCATGGTCGCAAAGTCTGGTATTCGGGAAAAGAGATCGGCGGTGTGTTGCCGACTGACATGCCCGAGTCGCGATGAGGGTGTAAGGTATGCTCTCGGGCGTGATTGTCTCGCTCGTCCTTGTTGTGGAAGCCGTAGATGTAATGTATGCAGCGTTCGTCCCAGCACTTGAAAGAGGACGTGGACCGAGACGACGGTGACAGGCTTTCCCTCATCTTCCATCCACGGACTACCGGGTCGTGGCCCTCAAGATTACGGTCTAACCAAGCCGCATAGCCAGTCGGCGCTTCGTCATACAGAGATCGTTTGAGGGCATCAACCATGTTTGGGTCCAGCAGATCGTGCCCTGGAAACTGTGTTAGAAACCAACTGTGAGTCAAAATTTGGGCGGGACGGGAGCAATTCACCTTGCTCTAGGCAAGCAGTCTCTATACATTCGCATCGGTACTGCAAAGACCTAGCCTCCTCGAACTCAGAATTGACTGGTATACCAGCAGAAATATCTGAGTAAATTGTCAGTCGGACGACCAAGAGGGAGATCTGGCAAGAAATCATTGGAGCGCGGCATCTTACGGTGATGTTCAGAGTAGGCTTGCAGAACCCGCAACTTGTGGCGGAGCATATCAAGCTCCAACTTGACATTGAGACCATACTTTGCGGGCAGCAAGGCAGCAAGCCTCGCCTGAATCTCGGCCTGCTGATCGAGAAGTTGTCGGATGGCGCTATCGAGGCCGGGATCGGTGAGGTCGGCCGCCATTCCTCCCGGGCCACGAGGGCGTCCTCCTCCCACCAACGACGACGACAATGTGGGCGTGCTCGAGGATTGTAGTGGACAAGGCGCAATGAGAAATTGCACAAGTAGACATGAGTTGTCGTCTGTTCTGCTTCTCAAAAAGCCCTTTCGTTTACACGTCGAAGTGACTGGTACGAGTGCATCAGATACGAGCTTCTAAGAACCGGTTCACGCCGTTTCTCAAATCCTCTCCAGTCGCAGACGCAATGTGCATATCATCAGTCGTTGGGAAGGCGTCTAGGGGTGATGCTATCGTTGTTTTTGGCGTTGCTTCTTGTTGGCGGGTTTGCCGCGGGCGTTTTTTGTGTAAGGTTGGAATGGAATGGGCATGTATGTGATGGTCGGGTTCATGCTTTTTCTAAAAGATTGATCAATGGGTACCGGTGAGTATGTTGCATGCTGTTGCTCGCTTTTCTTCCCGGCGTCCGCAGATCTTTCTCTGTCTTTGGCGGATTCGAGTTATTTCCAACTTTTTTGCCTCATTCCCACCAGGGGTGGTTCGTCAGGATCGAGCGAGGTGATGTAAGGTACAACAGGCGAGACTTTGGCAGCTTGCTTGGATGAGCGGGACCCTTGATCGACTTTCCATTCCAGTTCCAGGTCTAGCTCCAGTATCCAGCTCCAATCCACAGGTGGCTGAGATGTCAGCGAGCGAGAGACAGGTAAATGGTGGTAGCGGTAGCGGTAGTAGTAGTGGTGGTGGTGCTGTTGCTGGTATGCGGTCTCCGGTTTTGTTTCCGATGCAAGCTTGGTCCTCACTGCCGCTCAGATTCCCGTCTCTTTTCTGGGCCGATCTTGGAAGAAGAAACACACAATGCACAGGCGAGACGAAGGAAGAGGAAGAGGGAGAGGGAGAGGAGGAGAAGGATGATGCAGAGATTGTGAAGAATTGAACAGGCCGGAAAGATTTCAGGGCAGGAATCTCGGTATGGTGGGTTTGAGGGTCGGATTTTGGCGGGAATGGTCTGGATAGCGAGTGAGCGCACCGTACCCGATCGCGGTGCTGGTGTGCTCCTCCCTCATTGGGGAGACAGGACCTTTTATTGCCTTAGAGTACCAGGCCAGGGTTCATTTGGGGAAGTGGGGCTATCGTGGCCAACGGTCTTGTAAGGTACTCCGTAGATTAGAGCAAGATATGGAGCAGAGCAACGCGACGGCGAGCAAGCTGCAGCTGGAAGAGAGCAGCAGGGCAAGGATGGAGAGAGAGAGGCGACGTGACGCTGGTGTCTCGTCGGAAGACAGAAAAAAAAAAAAAAAGGACCCCAGCTGGGTTCCAGTTTGGACCTGGAAAGAGGGGGGGGTGGTTTGATTACAAAAGTGAGAAACGGTGCCACAGGGGAGACGGGTTGAACGGTGGACAACAGACAATGTACGAATATTATTGTTGATGGTCCGGACTGACAGGTAGATGGCAGGGACACCGTGACAGAGGCTGACAGAGAGAGGAAGATGAGGATGAGAAGGCAAGAGGGAGAAGAACACCAGAAGGGGAAAAAAAAAAAAAAAAAAAAAAGAAAGAGGCTGGATGCACCCACTCTACACGCAGCGTGGTAGTTTGGGGACGAGGATGGGGACGAGCCCAGGACGATGAAAACCAAGACCGGGACAGGTGAAGAGCAGCGACAGGTCCAACCGGGATCTGGCAGGGTGTCTTTTGCTTTGCCGCCTTGCGCAAGCAAGCAATTGGATAGAGCAAGGTAAGGAAGGTACGGTAAGGAAGGTACTTCGTCCACAACACACCTCACTTACCTAAGTGCCTCCTTACCTTGCCTTCGGACCTTGGGTAAAAGCGTAGGTAGGTAGCTGACAGATATGGTTGGCTGTGGGGCAAGCACGGTAAGATATCACAAGGTCCTGGAGGGATTATGGATGCTGGTTATGGATATGGATACGGAGGACCTTGCCTGATGGATATGATGACGGCACGGAATAGCTAAGGAAGGAAATAAGGAAAGTCTTCAAACTACCTTACCATAAGGTAAGGTAAGTAAGGTAACTCGTTCGCTGCGGAGTAGGGTACACGCCAGCTGCCTCGCCTCGCTTCTTTCATATGTTGCATCCCATTGCTAATAGTGCTCTTTCCCATGTCCGCTTCGTACCTTCTCCTGATCACCTTTCTCCTTTTTACGTATGGTGGGTGTCAGGTACTTTTTATTTATTTTATTTTATTTTACACTGATGTACCCTTTGCGCTTTCCTCACCTCCACCTTTCGGTACCTTCCCCAAACATCGACGGAATGCATTTCAACTCAAGGCAGGTACTTCCAAGTTCCAAGCCGAGCAATGCGCGATACCTCACTTCAGCTTGTCCCGTAAGGTAAGGGGGCTGGCCGTGTGGCTGTGTCTGTCGACTTTGACCCAAAGATCTCACTGATACCCGCAATGATTGTGACCAAATCTCCAACTTGTACCTGTTAACGTTTGCCTCCTGCCGGCCCTGATTCCGTCGAGCCCTTCAGCAACTTCCCTCTCTTCAACTTTGCCCTCCCGTCTTCTCCGCTTCTTCTCATGTACTTACATTCCGCTTGGAATAACCCTAATGAAGCACTCGACCTTCAGTGCCGATACCTCATCCATCACGATTCACTCACCAGCTTCGTTCGCCGACCACAGAAACGACCGGAGACATCAGGTGCTTCTCAAAATTCGACCACCTCGCCACGGGATATCCCTGGACCATGTATCAGGGGCTTTCCGTCCCAAGGTTGAGGTACTTTCTAATCAAGGCACGTTGTCCCTCATCGTCTTCTATGCCTGCCGGCGCAATCATCACCGGCATCATTCCATGATCTGGATCTGCACTGACGAACCCACGAAGAGCACCGAACAGTGTCATGGACGGTCGTATTTCTCCTTTTCTCTAGCTCGGTGCCGCTCTCTGACAGTCTGCCCTTCGCTACGTAAAGGGTACAGCCGACTACCAACAGTCCATCCTTCTCCATCACGCCGAACGCACAGTGGGAGACTTCGGCCGCCATCCGACCGATGTTTATCCAAGGGTCTCGATGTACCCTCACCGTACCTGCGCATCCGATCCATGGCCGGACAGACACTATGTACGGACGGTATGCTTGCCTTGCCTCATCTTGGCTGGCCTGGCAATGCCGTCCTTATCGTCTTTCCATTCCCATGCTCAGCCTGTTCATAACGCCCTTGAGCCTGCTGGCCTTCTGACTCCCTTCCTCCCCTCTCTCTTACACCCCCAGGAAGAGTCGACAGTCGACCAGTGGCAACACAATCCGCATGACTGCGCCATGGACGTTTCTGGATCTAGCAGGTAAGGCGGGAGCGGACTTATCGAGCATATGTTGGCCTCGCACGCCTTACGCCTCTTATCAGCTCCCCCTTCGGCCTTACCTCGCCCGTCTCCCATTCAATGACGCCCGTCTTCGAACCGTACCGCCCTCCGATTCGCACGGGGCATGGGCCACAACCAATGCACACACCTCGAGTCCCTGTTGTCTGGCATCCCACACCCCCGCCTCATCCCAGCTTCTTCCCTACCAAGTTACATTAGCCACTTGCTTGACTGGTTAGCTTCCTAGCTCTTTTGACCAGCAGCTCGCAACAGAACGCGTTTCTGTCCCAACTGCCTTCACGCCGCATGCCGTCGCCGTGGTCGCAGCGCAACCTCGAGCTGCTATCATGATGACTGCTACATCACGGAATCTTGAGCTACTGCGGGCTGGGGAGAGAGGAGAGGGACAAGAAGTTTACAGCCGTTGTGTCGTTGAGGGGGTGGTCAGCCGCCGCACACACACTCTCTCAGTCAACCACAACCAGTCTGGCACGTTTGCCTTCCACTTCCGACCCCTTGAGCCTCGACTCCTCCATGAATCCTATCCTTACCTTCTAGTAGGGTCTCCTGGTAAGTTCTGTTCTTTACCGCTTTATTTCCCGCCTTGGGAGTGGAGGAGCTGCGGCAAAAGCAACCAGAGTGATGGGCAAGTGAGGGCTTAGGAGAAAGATACTAGTGTAGCCAGAAAGCTCCGTCCAACGGGTTCATGGGGCCCATGAGCCTGGCTGTGGGCGTCGACGACGTGGGGCCGCTTGCGCCATCTCCGACTCCCCGACCGCCGGCCGCTGCCCCCAAGTCAAACAAAAGCCGACTAGTTACAGGGAGAGAAAAACATCAGACGAGACCACACTAAACGTCTGTTTAGCCTTACTGCCCGTCCGCCGCCTCCGTCCTGTTTGTGTACCCTTCGGCTTCGTCTCGAGCCAGTCCGTCTGCTCCTCGCACGAGTCTTGACGTCTGTCAGCTGCATTGGCAGCACATAACCACTCGCTGCCCTGACCGTTCAAGCTTTCCCTCAGTACCTCAGCGGGCCATCTTCCATGCCGGCGAAAGCCCAACTGCAGTCTACGAGCTTCGCGCTTCTACGTCGCAATGGTGTACACTACACAGCAGCTAACAATGCGTTCCATGGACTGCTGAACTTGGCCTGGCTTTCCCTTAGGCTTTTCGCTCGCTAGTGCAAGCTTGCAACGTCAGGTTCTATCCGGGTTGGGGGCGGTTCTCGAAGCATCACGCGAGTGCAGGGGCATCCCTCCGTGGGCAAGAAATTGCGACATTTCCGCCTTGCCCGCCAGTCTGCGCAGCCACCAGCCTGCGCAACAGCTCCTCGCTGCAGCTCTAAGAAGACAGCCCTGACTGGTCTTCGCCTCGAATCTCATCTCGCTCTGTCGCTCGACGACGCGGGTATTTCCCGTCACAGACGCATCTAGAAGGCACCTGGAGCCAAACCCACGTCTATATGGCCACGCCCACGCCACACGGACCAACTTGCTAGGCTCCACGTGGGCCATGGAGTCCGTGGTACGATGCTGGGGGGCAGTCCCGGCAGAAACAAGCATGTGCCGAGTCACCGTTACAACCTGCAGATGGCTGCTGCGGGTGACGGCGAAAGGGGTGGATCACAACCACAGCTTGCTGAGCAAACCTGCCCTTAAAGCAGCGATAGACATGCAGCGTCGACCGTCACACGGCGGATGGGGTTGCCAGGCTCTAGGCCTCAGGCCTGGCAAGCGGTCTCTCGATCGAAGCACCACGACTGGATGGACGGTTCTCTTGGAACCCTTCCCCACCAATCCCTGCCGTTCTCCTCTTGGACGAAGTCAAAAGTCACTTTAACGGAGAGTGTGTGAAGAAAGATATTGGACCAGTCGTAGTACTCTCTAATCGTACGCAACGTCTCGGACACGAGACCAACTTGACTACATCCTTCTTTTGCAAACAGAAGCCCTGGTTCACAGTCGTACGCGTCGGTTCATCATCTAACACGGTCAAGACAACTTACTTGACGAGCCGAAAACTCTCCTTGGACAGCACTACTAAGCGATATGAAGTTGGCCGTTGCACACAGGGGAGAGTTCAGCCCAACTAAGAGGGCCCGCAAGACATCGAATAGACCCTGTTCACGGCGAAGGGCACGTAAAGTTCAACGATACTCAAATGTTCGCGGCTTGAACTGCAATAGCCCCATGGTTAGACCATGATGCCCTGGTACGTGCTCATGGCTCGTTCGCCATGGCACATGAGCCGTGTCTTGCCATGAAGTCAAAAGTTTTCCAAGGTAGGGATGTCGCTAGATTTTGAGTTGTAGTTGATGAAAGCAGGAGATGAGGAGCATGCAGTCCATCTACCCGTCACTGCCCGTACCACACCTGGCAATCCCAGCATCCTCCTAGCCGCTTGAATTGGTATCCAGAGGTTACCATTTGGCATTTCCGGAACGTTGGTTGGTCGGACGTTTTCTACCGCACGGCAGACTTTGTATCGACATGAATAACCCCCCGATGACTCTCGGGCCATCAGCTGGCTCTGGTTCGGTCCAGTGGGGGAGTTCATCCTCCTTGCAAGCCAATTAATTCTGACCCCCGGCAGCTAGTATCCTGATCCCTGGATTCGGTACCGAACAAGACATCATCGTACAGGACGGCAAATTAGTCAAATAAGCCTCGTGAACAGAAGGCGACGTACCCGATGCCCAAGTAGATGGCCGAGGTGTCTCATCAATAATACTGCGTAATCTGGCAGTTTATTGGGGTCAATTCGGGCGCGGACACGTTTTCGTAACCCTCTGGCAAATCAGACGTTCCGCCAGATTTGATTTTCGAATAGGCACATCGGCGAAGCCTTCACCCGTTGTTTCGATCTGCCAGTTCCACGCGCGTCAGAAGCAGCACGGTTGGCCCAGCGGCTCCAGCCTTCGAAACGAAACCTCTGCAAAAGGACAACAGGATGGGATGGAAAACAGCGGAATTACTGCCCCGTCACCAGGTTTCCTAGTCTTTTAGGTTTCTCGTCAATCTCGACTACCCGCCTGTCTCATTCCAACAGAGACACGAGCGAGGCAGCCGGCTGCCTCTCGAGCCCCCTCCCCTCGATCTCCATGTTCGACTCGACAGATCTCGATTGGACAGCGCGTACCCGCGAGCGAGTCGTCTGTGTCACTGTCAGTGCTGTGCTGCTTGCCGATGTTGTTATTATACGCAGGCATGCAGTCTTATGGCTATACACTACTGCTGGTTTTGAGCCTCTTTTATACTCAGCCCTAGGCAAAATACCTTTTCTTATCGTGCTTATGTGTCTAGGTTAGGCAAGGTACGGACGGCGTGAGGGAACCTGATCGAATCGGCAGTGTGTGAGGTTGCCAGGTCCTTTAAACCCCCCGCCTCCCAAACGTCAGCATTCGTCTTCTCCACGATCGATAGGTTTGGTAAATGTATCGGTAAGGACGCACTGATGGCAATATGGAGGGCACAGAGATCGATCCTCATCAAATGCCCAGGCGCCAGAGATGTGGTCAGTGCTGAGGCTGAAAATAGTGAGGAGAGAAGGACGGCAGGGTGTGTGCAGCTGTGCTTGTCCAAGCTTTGCTCTCTCTCAGTCTGTCAAGGTATTCGTACGGCAGGAATGAATGAGGAGGGGAACTTGGAAGGGGAGGGGGTGGGTGTTCCATTCTCGGGCAGGGTCCTCCGTACACATACGGACTGACAGAGTACGAAGTGATACGGCTATGTACGAAGACAGGTGAGGTGGGCAGAATTTCCTCAATTTTAGCATGTGCTTGCAGCTCGCAGATATCACACACACACACACACACACACACACACACACACACACACACACACACACACACACACGCACACGCACACATACGACGCTGCGGGCCACATATGTTGCTTTCTTTTTTGTATTTTGCAATATTGACTCTATTGCAGCCGCCTTTACCCACTTGCTTGACTCGCGGCAGGCAAGTGGACAGGCGGTGGATGTACGGATACCTAGGTGCGTAGCTAGAGCTCTGAGCTCACGCCCAGCGGCTGTGGTCCACCAATCCGTCTGGCCGGTATTAAGACGGTTTGGTTTGGATTTTTGGGGGCCAAAACGGGGGAGCCGGGGGGGTGGCTAAGGTAGATTGCCGTCGTCTGCTCGCCCGGAAAGGAGACCGTCGGGTAACTTGGCCCAGTTCGGGGGCACGGGGGGGTGGGCTATTGATACCTTATTACCAAACATGTTTCTCGGACTTCAGTCTTAATCGGGTCCAACTTGGTTTGGAGACTTGGAGTGTCGCCTTGGAGTCGTTCTTGGAGGTTTTCTTGGAGACTTTCTTGGGGTCGCCTAGCGCAGGAGTCTGAAAGTATCATCTCCTTGGCAGTTCCGTAGGAATTTTTTGATCCAAGTACACTACTTAGTTATCAGGTACGTTTATGTGTGTATCCTTTTAGTAACTCACTCATGAAACCCGACTCCCATTCTCCGTTTTCGAAGATGGTTTTTTTCCCCCGTTGGTCAAGGAAGTCAAGTTTTATTTTATTTCCTAATTCTCGTTCTTTGCGTGGTATTTGATGGATTATATATGAAGAAAACTCCCATCTAACCCCTCCCCCAAACGCCCCGGAGCTCGGTCCCGGCCTTCGTCGAGCTCATGTTGAATGACGCCGGCCCATACTGATACTATGCTTCGCTTGCTTCAATCCATTTCTGTTTCGCAGTTGAGGTTGACGTCCAGAAACCCTTCCTCGCCAAAACTCCCTGGAAAGCTTGTTTTCTCTCTCTCTGTTTTGTCCCTTAAGGACTGGCAGTCTTCAGATCTCCGTAGCCTGCCGAGTCAAGTTCGATCGTATCAAGGTCCTCACTTTACTCCAGTTGCTCCCAGCGTCTCTCACGCAGGGGCTTCTCTTTGCCAGCCGCGGCTCTGCTGCCATCTTTCTCTGCCTTCCACGCCCAGTACTCAGCCAGGCGCGTTTCCGCATACGAGGCGTAATCAAAGTCAATCTCTGAGATGACGGCTTGGATCAAAGCCCAGATGCCCCAGTAGAATCCTGGCACGCCACGGAAGAGGTCTACCTCGTGTGTGAGCTTTCTGACCTCCGCCTCGATATCAACATTTGTGTTGCTCTCGGAGTACTTGTAGAATGAGCGGATGTACTCCTCAATGAACTCCCGACGCTGGGATTGGGTGGGCATAAAGTTATAGTCGCAGTCGAATCCACCCCACTCGGCCAAGTGATTGGCAATATCGAAAGCGGCTGGGGACGGCGTGGCATACTCATAGTCGATGAATGTCACTGTGGCTTCCTTCTTAGGGCCTTTGGCGGGCTGGGTACTCGGTAACACGATCACGTTTCCGCTCAACAAATCGCAATGGGCAAAAACCAGCTTTTACGAGAGAACCGTTAGCAACCATAGCGGATCGTGACGGCTCTATATGACTTACGCCTTCAACACCTAGCCCGGGGCGTTGGCTGAACTCCTCCACAATGTATTCAAACTCCTTCTGAAGCTTGTCTTGTCTCTCCCTCTGCACCTGTGTGTCGCTGGGTAGGGCCAATATCCATTTTTGCATCACTGACCATAGGTTCGGCACAGGCTTCCCAGGTGCGGCATTGTCGATGATGGCGTTCAGGTCCTGATCGTGGCCCTTAACATTACCATTGGTCGACGTCTGGTGTGTAATGCAGGGCACAGTCGCATGCCACTGCGCTAACCTGCTGGCGACGGCTCGATAGATGTGTGGCTTCCTCAGGTCCTCCGGGGCTGTGACGCTGCCCTTGATGAAGCGGTATAGCATGCCATTTTGGAATCGGGCGAGCAGTTCGGGGGCAAGACCATGCTTCATGAGCAGTTCATGGTTCTGGGCTTCGCGCTCGCGATCGATGAGGACAGCGGTTCCATTTCCATATGCGCGCAACAAGATGGCCTCCCTGTCTATATCCTCCTTGGACCAGCCCTTTCGCTTGTTGATGGCTTTGAGAAGGGTATTGGTAATGCCGTCGGTGAAGCGAACGAATTCGATGTTGGAGTCGTCGGAGGCCCAGTCTGGTCGAACAGTCAGGATTAGACTAGTCGCAGATTGCTGGGAGTCTTCGCTGTCGTAGAAAAGGGGAAGTGTTCGGACATGAGGCAGCGCCGACCCGTTAGGGTGGCCGTTGCTTGCACCTTGGGTCATGATTTGACCGAAGGGATGACCGAGGGAAAGTATGCGGGCGAAGGAAGGGATGGGTATGTCGAAAGGGCAGGGACAATACCGAAGAGGTCAATCGCTGGATGAGGATGCCTCTGTGGAATTCGGCGGTTTGTTCAGTCGCTAGTGTCGTGCGGCTTTGGTGGTCTGGATATTCGCGGAAAGGGGCTCACGGCGGTCTGCAAGACGTCAAGGGGTAGTAAGGATGAGGCTCTTCGGGAGAGGAGCAGAAGGCGATAGGATAAGGCGAAGTAGGTATGGATAGGAGTAGGGCGATATGTTGGTGGTTCACGCTTGTGGGGAGAAGAGATGTGAGTGGGAAGAGAGGAAGGTGGGTATTGTCGGATTGATATTGGGAAAAAGATGAGAGACGAGGGGGTACTGGGTTGGGATTGGCGCCGTCGAGATAATGGTGGCCGAGCACGAGACCTTTTTCCTTCCTCGTGCGGATCCCGCAAGGTATGAAAGAGAAAGGTAGTACTCCGTATCCTTAGGGAGTACCCAAGTGCTAAGTGGTAGTGGCTCTGGGAATGATGTGGTGCGTTTGGTAGTTTAAAGTGAGATTCGCGTTGGGGAAATTACGGTATGTGCGTGTGGCTAATCTTCTTTTGTCGTCGGTCAACGAATCGAGGTAGGAAATCAGAAGGAAAGAAGGGAGAGACTGTGGACACTGGACGAGACACAGAGACACAGAGACTGAGCGAGAGAGAGCATGTGAAGAAGGTGCAGAACAGAGCAACTTCCCACTTTCCACCTTCAGGGACCTTATGGAGACCACACTCGCAGAACAAGCCAATTACCTCGTGCCTTGCTCAACTTACGACCGCCACATGAGTGGGCCTGCTTCTACTGTGTAAGGTAGGTAGGTACCTTCCCTTTCTCCCAAGACCCTGATTCTACTATTAGTTTCCCGGGTGTGCTGTGTATGCGCGTACGGACACAGGAAAAGAGCTTTTGATGGAGCAGATTTTCACTCTTCATGTTCAGGGTCTCTCTGAGCGGGGGCAGTGCCGCAGTGGGAACCCGTTGTGATTGGGGGACCGGGGCGTTCCCGCGGGCGCTTTTTCCCAACAACGCCTCCGCTAGCAAGGACAGACCTCAAGCAAAAGCTCAACCTGGAATGACTCTACCCTCGTTTGTTGGCAGTGTCTCTGTTTCTGCACAGGACGCAGGACGCGTGGCACGAGCGTCACGGCATGGGCACCTAGGAGAAGGGACCAAGGCACGCTGCCATCCATCTCCGTGGCTTACCTATACGCAGTCTACCTACTGTCTAAGGTAAGCGTCTTGAGGTAAGTAGGCACGAGGAAATGAATGGGGTCCGAAACCACAACGACTGAGGCGCCCTTACCGTCATTGTTGCCTCTCTTTCCCCAAGTCCTGTTCCCCTCCCCCTCCACACCTCGGGCTATTGGGTGGCCTACACTAAACCCGTACCATACCTTACCTTACAAGCATTGACTTCTTTCAAGAGTCCATAGCAGTGACATCTAAGGGTCTTGCAGCTGCTCGGCAATGCAGTGCGACAGCCACAACGGCCTGACGAGCCTGGATTGGATCGTAGGACCTGCCTTCTGGACCGTCTCAAGAGCTTCCCCTCATCCAGTTCCATCCAATAGTTGTTTCCGATTCCCAGGAGCCATGCTAGAATTTCGTCATCGTTGGAGTTGACCCTAAGGTACCTAAGGTGTTGTATCCGCAGAGCACCGTCACCTTCTCGGAGGCTTCTCCTCGCCCCTTTCTCCAGTCATGATCAACGCGGAAACCCGTATCGACTCACCATCTCTACAATGCAACTTTGAATGACGACAGTCTTGCTTTTGTTAGTGAACCAGGATCGGGAACTAAGTGCCAACATTGCTATACATACAACGATCGCTCGTTTCGCATCCGGCTGTCGCAGAGGCGCATTCCCTCGATGCACCTTTATCTTCGCTCAAGCCATACTACCGTAGGCTACCTTAGAAGAGGCCTCACCGACTCTGTGTCTTTCGTCTCCTGCAGTCTAATCAAGTCCAGCCCGGCCTAAGCATCTTGATCGCGAACTGCAGTCGGATGCCGTGTCTCATCTTTTGCGTCAAACCGGCTAGCTAATAGGCATCCCTAAACGGGCCACACCTCTGGCTGAGCACTAATCATAATCACTCCAACCAAAGGTATGCGATACCGAAAGGTTCAAGCTCGCATTCTCGCATTACATACTGTAGGAGAAGCCTTTTGAGCCGTTGATAGACTGAGGTCTGACGGGGCTTGCCGGTTGTCCACTTCTCACTCCTCCTGCCTTCAGCCGAAACCTTGTGAGCCTCAACCCCACCTTGAGGTGCCGCCTAGGAAGGTGACGGGGCCAGGCCGGCGGTGCTCGGACCACCTTGCACCTTCCGGTGGCTGCTGGGCCGTTTGTACGGATACGTACCGCGGACTTTGACGTCTATTGGTCGTGCTCGTCGACTTCCAATTCCCACGATCCAGCCACCACCCTCGTCCAACCTGGGCTTACTACAGCAGATCGGATCGAGCCTGCGACCTACCTCATCCCATCTACGGTCCAGCCACGACAAATAGCCGCATGTACCACTCTCGCCCTGCTGGTCTGAGTCCCATGGAATGTGGACTGCCAGTTCCTCTGGCGCATCAATCCACACCTAGGTTTTGCCGACTCTCCTTGCACACAGCCGCCACGGTAAAAGACTTCTGAGCGATGATCGCCGGGCACGGCACCGTTGACATCTTGGAGTCCTTGACCGCCCTGCCATAAGCTTTCACAACCGCCATTGGATCTCTTATCGCTCCCGAAATGGCGCCGCCCGTGCTCCCGAATCCGTCCAACTTCTTGGCCGTAGCGCTGGTTATCAACAGGTCTCGTGATGGTCCCAACTTCGTCTTCCATTATCCCCCAAGTGTCTTGCCGCCCAACGCGCAGTCCAAGAGTCACGAGCCAGCCGATGGCTCGGCCGAGTATGACGATATCTTACTGGAGCGTCTTAATGCGCCCGGCTCAGCATCTCTCGACTCCGATGCTAACGCGGACGAGCTCCAACAATGGACTGCCGGGGATGATCACTTAATCACCGAAGATGGTACGCAAATCGTACCATGGGAGCATGTGGCTGGTTTTCCTACCAAAGACCTTGCCAGTATTCTGACCCCGGGGAGAGCGTACCACAAGAAGCTCTTCCAACTCTCTCTGGACCCTTTGTTCTGTGTTTCATATCCCATCCACGTTCCCGAGAGTGGGACGTGGAAGAAGAAGAAGAAAAACAAGAAGGCCAAGTCAGAGAGATCCAAGTCGGTGCGCACGGAGGAGTCGGCAGTATATGTCGACTTCGACCCAAATGAGGATAATGAAGATGCCCCCAATGGCACCGAGGCGTCGCAAAATGATTCCAAGGAGGAAGAACAGCCCCAGCAAGACGAGCCTGACGACAAGCGGGCGTCCATGACTATGTTCAACCTGGTGTTTTTTCTAAACCCAAAGAAACATGAGGCCAAAGAACTCATCGAGACACTCTATTTCAACATCATTAAGAAGATCAACAAGGCATTTAAGTACTGCCAGCAACGAAGCGAATTCGTGTGGAAAGAGTCGAAGCGTATTTCAGCCCTGAAGGATAAGGGACGAGAAGATCGTAAGCCAGATCACGGAGCACCATCGGATGTAAATCGCTGACATTCATACAGGGCGCAAAATGAGTCTGTTATGGGACGAAATTCTACAGACATCGTCTCTCGCAGCTGCTGTCCAAGACATTTACGAGGCCGTCTCCCAGAACAAGATTGCGGCCCTTCAGCTCGACACAGCATTGGGCCCAGTCACACCATCTGTGCAGATTCCCGTGCCGTTTTATGTAACGGACTTGCACAACTATGGACAGACAGAACAGAGAGGCCTCTGGCTGACGACCGCCAACTCGTTCATCGGCGAAGATACCCTAGACGAGCCCGGTTTCTTGGACCGCAACTTTGCCCTCTTGCTGATGGGTGATGAGAAGAAGATCATCGCCGAATTACAGGCAGATTTGGATCCAAGCACTGTAGCCATGGTCGAGTTCGCCCGACTGTCGAAGCCAACGCAATCGTAAGTGGTGAAAGCCCTTCAAAACCCACCACGTACTCTTGCTAATGTTTGTTCAGTTTCTATCAAGTAGGCCAGAGCAACGTCCTGACTTTGAGCCAAGTGCGCAAGTACGCGCAACACTTCATATTTTGGCGGCGTGCTATAGCAATTCCGCCCCTCCATGCCCGCGACACATACATCATGTCACCGAACTGCGATACCCGCAACCTCTCCAGGGCAAGCCTCGAGTGGCAAAAAACGTTCCCCCTCGCACCGCCGCTCACCAATTTCCTCGCCGAGCTTTCGTACGCGCCGAGATCATATAAACACTACTGTCCGAGTAAAGCCCATCGGCCCACGTACCTCGCTATGCTCGCTTGGCTCATGCGCGGGGCATGGGTGACGCAATTATGCACATTCGCCTACGTTGTTGTCTGGCCCGAGATAATCTACGAAGTCGAGCACAAGCTCGAAAGCGATGAACTGCGCAAGGCCGAGGATACTTCTTCCCTCAGCACCAGCAACCCACTGAGTAGCTCAGTACTCGACGCGGCAGATGGGAAGTCTGAGGGAGGGAGCAGCAGTGGTGGGAGTGGAAGCGGCGGTTTCGGCAGCGGCATCGCAGCGTACATCCCGTCGCACATTGAGCAAACGGCAGAAAAGGCACGCCTAGAACGCATCGCAGAGAAGACGCAGCGCGAGGCGGCCGAAAAGGCTACGGCGCACGCGCGGAAGCTACCGCCTATGGCGACGGATCATCCTTCGACCAACGAAGCGCCGCATCTGGCGCGAATGCCCCCCCACATCATCGTGGACGCCAAGAAGGCGACGGGCAAGGAGTCGCTCTACCTCGCGGCCATCGGCAAGCGGTTCAAGGATCCCAAGGTCGCCAAGGCGTGGCAGGCCATGTGGAAGTATTTCAACGGGCAGA